TGACTCGTCCTATATTAGCGACGATCAAGACTGCATTGAAATTGAAGAGAGCGGTCACCCAATTCAAATAATTAAAGGACTCCCTAAATCCCTACTCACAAATTGCGCGCTCCAATCTGCCATCGCAATCCTGCGATACGCGGCGGGTGCGGCGTGCGCGACGCCGTCTCCAGGAGGAAGTTCCCAGACCTCACCTCCACGCAAGCAGAAGTTTTTTGAAATACTGTAAAACAATTCGCAAACAATGTTGAACAAAAATTCAATGAAGTGGGAAAGGAATAGTTGCTACTGCAACTGCCCAACAACTGAAGTTCATTTTGATTAATTTCAGGCAGATACTAGAGCACAGGCTCAACGTGATCGCTACAAAAGCCAGTCGAAACGGAGAGAATATCACTTATTACTGATGGCTTCCTGCATAGGTTTTTATCAGACGTTTCTTTCCTCATTTTGATCCATGATAGAGATAGGGCGAAAGGCTCCGGTGGTTGTCCAGAAACGATCAAAAAATATTGAGGACCCTAGTAATTTGAGACCCTTATGAAAGGCAAAGCTCACCATTTTTTTTTCAGGTGCATGGCTCAGGTAAGATGGAGAAGTGGTGAATAGTGCAAACGTAGCGAAAAAAGCATGAAAATCTCGGATAGCGGAAAATCTTGAGTAATATAAAGCCTCATAAGACGGGCAGGTGAAGGGGTTGTACGAGATTATGGGTCTGTAATCGTGTGTCTCTCACATAGGCGTACTATTTGTCGTCGTTTTCGAGGTTCACTTCGAATGGTACAACCTCGACTAAGCCCTCATAACACCGCTACTTTCGGGTGTGCACGTCGGCCAAGCCGCTTTTGGGGCCCTCATAATGCCCTGTCGACAGGGCTTTTCGACCGACAATGTCTCAAGCGCTTTCCTTGGGGGCCACAGGCTCATTCTAGAAGGGAAACTCAGAAACCCTTTCCTCTTGTGTACTGTACCTTTACCTTCTAGCTATATTACGTATCCTAGAAGGGAAAAAAATGAATTGCCTCTTTGATGCGATTCCGAAGATGCAGTGGATTATATGATTTCTTTTGTTCTTTAGATATATTTCATCTAGTGATGACCCATAGGGTCCTAGTCCCTTCAGTGTGGGCCAATTGATCTCGATAAGCGTTGAAAACATTACGGGACCGAATTGGTGGGGTCCATGGGGGTATGGGTAATAGTGTGAACCTGTGATTCCAAAAATCTTGGGCTGTGCACACAAAAGAACCACTTACTCTTCATACAACAGCTCTTCACGATTTTTCGTCAAACAAAACATTTCGCTTGCTGCCTATTAGAATAAACCAATAGCCAGGTTACAGTAAGATACGTGATTTTGCCGTGACCTAACTCAGAAAAGCTTTAAAAGTTTCTGATCTTCTCCTAATTACAGTAGCAATCCAACTGATTATTGTTCTACTCTTATCGACCAGGCTGTTTTCACAATTTCTCTTCACATCCGACGAATTTCACGCTGTTTATAATCATCTCAGGTAGGACGAAAACTCATGATGAAATAACCTATTTAATTTTTCTCTAATTTGCGAGTAGTCTTTGAAAAATTGGAAATGACACCGTTTTTCTTTTGGAATCTGAGTCAGAGCTAACAAAAGTATTTCAGCATTATTTCATCCGGTGCTGGCGCCTATCTGCTATGGGTATTCGGCGACTCTCTTCGACATTATGTCTACATAACCATGAAAATTAAAAAACCTACTGTAAAACCAGCTACTTCATCATTATCATATGTATTCTCGAATAATAGAGCTCTTGCAATGCATCGTTAGCTATAAGCATGAGTCCCACTTTATCGAACGAAGATCCGCTTCAAGCTCTGCTGGATACGGGGATTGGGGAATCTAAGCTTGAATTGTTGCCGATTTCTCCTGAATCAATGAATCTGGTTTTGTATCTGGTTTGAATTTTTAAAATGGAAATCGGTAGAGAAAACGATAGGTTCAGAGCTCAGGGCTCTGGTGATGCTATGTATATGACACCATTGAGGATATACCGAGAAAGTTGTTCTGGTTATGTTTTCGCTTGAGAAATTATGCTTCACCGCCGACCTGTGATCGACGAACAGCGCTTTCAACAGAGTAGCGGCGCTCCACGCTCAACACTATACTATGAAAGATGCCATCAGATAAAGTGCCAAAGATAATTGTTCAATGCTGAGTAGTATCCAACTTTTTTCCTCCTGGTAGGAAGACCAAGTAATCGAAGGCAAATCACTACACACATCAAGAAAGTAGAAAAAATTGGCACTGGTTAGGTTGATCTGCCCTCTGTGATGCGCCGCGAACTTCATTCCCTCCGAAATTCAAATAACAAAAACAACTTCGCGGTTCGGAGGACTCTTCCGGCCCCGTATGAAATCCGATCAACGGTTTCATCCTTGCCTAATACTCACAGTAACATCAGTTATACTCACCATTTACTTGTCTGAAATGCAGGCCAAACATTAAGTGGAAACACCGTTCAGGAGTTCTACATAAACGACATGCCGATGAAGGTAATTTCCGTCTGATTAGCTTATAATTAAACCTCAGCCGAATCACCTGTCACATGGAATGAACCTCTTTCCATGTTTGCTAGTCAGATGACCCTTAGTTGTTTTCTCAGCGGATTCTAAATAATGCTTTCATTTTTGGAATTCAGGCAGAACTACTAGCCTGATGAGCAGCGAGTCAGTTCAATTCAGTGTTGGAGTCGTCTTTATTTTTGAGAAGTGTTTTTTCGCTTATTGGATATTCACAGTACCGTTTTACACATTGCTGGTGGGCGCAATGATCCATGCTCAAAAGAAGAATGCAGCAAATTTGACAAGCTCCTTCTTCAAGCTCTGTATAGCTACAGGTTTAACTGACATCGGTAAGGAAAGCTAAACGCATCGAAGTGTTTTTTCGCTTATTGGATATTCACAGTACCGTTTTACACATTGCTTGTGGGCGCTATGATCCATGCTCAAAAGAAGAATGCAGCAAATTTGACAAGCTCTTTCTTCAAGCTCTGTATAGCTACAGGTTTAACTGACATCGATAAGGAAAGCTACATGCATCGTTTTTATATTTTCTATAACAACCAATGAGTGAAACTACTTTTACGTACATACCTTTACGCAATTATTACTCTGAAAAACAGCTTGGAATCATCTTTTCCATTGCCTTGGGTGTCCCGGGGCTATCCTTGGAACTTTATTTTTCATTGTAATAATCTCTTTCCTACGAACTTCATGGAAGCTCATCGATCCTCTGCGTTCCTCTTAACGTGTGCATCTTTCAGACTGTTTTAAGCCCGCAGTCCGCATAACAGGGGGTCAGATCCAGGAGCTCCCTATGACTCACCTGGCACTACGTATGACAACAATCGATCTAAACAATTCATCAACAAAGCATCTAGGAGCTCCGAGCTTGGGAAAAATTTTATGCCTCAGATGGAACCCGAGCTCGATGTGGAGAACCATATAGCAGTTATGGAAACAGAGAGTGGTTTTTCACAGTCTACATCCGAACCGAATACCGAAACCTGAGATTGCCTAGGTAAAATTTCTTGTGAGGTGGTGGATAGGATTTTTCTTTGTGCCATTGTTCAAAGTGAAGCTAAGTAACCGCTCGAATGTAATGAGAGCTTAAGCTGAATGTCAAGCGTGCCATTCCGTACCGGCTACATTCCTTAAAAGACGTCAATCGTGTAAAATACAAATAGAGCTCAAGAACAATTCTTTTTAGAAAGTTCTTTAGTACATGTTTTTCTAGGAACTTCTAAGATTCCAGAAACGGTCTGATTCAACCACTAGTCATCCTTTTGCAAGCCCTTTTGCTTTCAGTGACCCTGCTGAACAACTATTTTGGTGCAGTATTTCCTAAATGGGGTTGGTTCACATCCGTGTATATGGCACTTGGGAAACCCTATGCCTATACCTATTTGATCATAGCATGGGCTTCAGGTACGTTCTGCGCAGATAGTTTGCCATTGACCTTTTTTTGATACCTGATAATTAAATTTATAAGAATACCGGACAGTTGACTTATTTTTTGCTATGATATACGATTTATTCAGGATTCAATCAGGCAGTTTCGGTATCGATGCTAGCTATAAATCGCCTATCTGCTATTCTATTTCCACAGCGATACCAGCAGGTCCTCTTTTTCTGTTCATTGAATATGAACATATTTTTTTATTTATTTTTTTATCTATTTTCCTTGTAAATAAGAACTTAGCTCTCAGAGAGGATGGAACCCTTTCTCTAAACTTAAAAAAGCAGTTTTCCTTGAAAATATCATTCCTCTCGCTTCATTCAATTCTAGGGGGATAGTTGATGTCACATAATTAGAGTCCATCCAGAGTGGTAAGAAAGTCTGAATGTTTCTGAATGTTCTTGGGATTGGAATGACTCCAAGTCGGGCAACTGAGGCATATTATTTTAGTGATTTTATCCTCTCGAACAACATTGAAAACCATTCAAGATCCAGTAGGGATGGGCGGTAAAGTTGGCGTGGGCGGGAAAGGGCACCGGATGGAATCCATCGACCTTTCCCATATGTAGTAAACATCGATTTAACTCTAAACTTGAACTTCCCCAATTTCAGTTCTGGTGCGGACGACGTCTGAAGATCGCTATAGCCATCCAAATTATTCCAGGCTTCATTGTTTCACTTCTTAATTTAACCAATGATGTTGCTCTTAGCGGCACCGAGAACGGAGGACTTGTTCCTGTGATCCTTGAGTCTGACTGATTCCTTCGTTTTTTCGTATTGTTTAACTTCATTTTGTCAACCAGTGTTCCTTTTCCTTTTTTTCTTTCCAATTGTTTCCATTCCTCTCATGATTTGAGTTCCTACTCAGCAGATTAGGGGAACGGTAGGATAGAACGAATTTTCAGCAAAAAAGCGATTAACTTCATTTTGTCAACCAGTGTTCCTTTTCCTTTTTTCTTTCCAATTGTTTCCATTCCTTTCATGATTTGAGTTCCTCCTCAGCAGATTAGAGGATGAACGGTAGTATAGAACGAATTTTCAGCAAAAAAGCGAAAGCAGCCTATTTCTTAGCTGGAGGTTTATTTGTTGCAGCAAACAGCCTATTTCTGATTTTGGCCTATTGCTATCTATACTATGTTCTTCGAAAAAGGAGATTCATACGTTTGAAGGTTGGTGAAGGATTCAGTAAGCAGATAAATAAAAGGCGAAATTACTTTGAAGTTACGCTCGCCATTTGATGTCGATATTGAAATGTAAATGAATCATAAAGGGCGAGGTGGTGAAGTGGCAAATGGCAGACTATCACACACGCTCGGTCACGGGCACGAATCCCATGTCGATATATGCCTAGGCGGACAAAGCTTTCCATCCCTCCAGAGATGTTTGATTGGGGGCCAGACTCGTTTGGGAGGATAAAAACGCTGACTTGTACATCGGCTTGTCACCGCAAGTCACTGTAT